TGCACCGCATTAAATGCGGTGGTTGGGTGTGACGTTGTACTTGACGTGGTGATTCAGCGCATGTGGAAGAGCAGATCTTGTCGAGAAGAGCACCTTCGGCTATATCTACAGACGCCGAAGGCTCCACATACCGGGGCAGTATGTATCGAAGGTTGTATGTGCCGAAGACTTGGTTTTCAAGCCTTGTTCTCCTGTGCTGTTTCTGGACTCGGTTTCATGGATGCAAAGCCTTCGGACCTGGGGTCGAAGGCACACTTTGCGTATTATGGGTCGCCTGGAGTTTTGTTTGCTGGGCTTGGCCCATTTGGACCTGTTGGCCTGATTGTTGCAGTGGAAGTATGTGGGTCGGGGGTTCCTGGATCATATACTCCATCCTTTATATTTTCAATATTGGTGTCATATGAAAGATAATAAAAAGTTATGAGTTTTAATATATTTTTAATAAAAATTGAAGTAAAAAACAAAAAGTTATAAAGCTTTAAATAAAAATGGGATTTTTATACCCATGGGCCCATGTACTGTTTTCCCATGCTGCCTTGTTCATGTTCATTGTAAGTAGTATGCAAAAGTCGTCAAACACATTGGCGGTTTGTAAGTCGCCGGGCGACTTTGTCCAACCATAGTTAAACTCAGCAGTATTTTGGTAAATAGTTTTAAATGGACTGCAATTTCGTAAATAATTTTTTATTAGGCTTTATTCTGGAAAAAAACTCTTATAAAACTTTTCTAATGTTTATAAATTTAAGCAAAATATGTTTTTTTTGTTTAAAATATTAAGTTAGAGCGTAAATGTACAATAATTATATGTTGAGATTAGTAGAAGATTGACATAAGAGTTAATTGGTGTTAGTGAAATTGTTAATTTCGCACGTGATAGAGCGCAAGATATAGAAGGTGATGAAATTTGTTGGCATTTATATACGATTCGTATTACCAAAAACTACTACAATTTGACTCCTTGAGGAGGAGTTTTTTTCCATGGAGAGGTGTTTTTTCAAACTTATTTACCAAACTTGGGTAATTTTAAACTTATTTTCCAAATAGAGGTATTTTTGCCATGTCACCTCATTATCACTGCAGGGCGCCACATCAGCTTATCTACATCATCCCATCAATTCCATGTCATCAATTTTGAGAGTTTAAGTGTGCTTCTAAAATATAGAAACAAATGAAGACAACAGGATTTGAACCTATGTGGAATACAAAGGAAGTCATCTATCTGAACCACTACACTACACCATTCACTTGATTAGAAATGCCTTTTAATATTAAAAGTATAATATTAAACTTACTTGTTAATACATATTAAAAGTATAATATTAAACTTACTTGTTAATAAATATTAAAAGTATAATATTAAACTTACTTGTTAGAGATTTTGAAAAATCTCTTTCAATACAACATTCGTAGTAGTCTATAATCAGTTCGTATACCGTGGGATCATCCCACGGTGAGCATGGTGCTCCACTTCCAAAACGACGTAGCTTTACCCAATTTTAAAAAAAAAATCGCGTGAACAGTACATGCGTGAACAGTACACACGTGTACAGTAACTGTTTTTTCCTTCTTTTTGTCCCAGTAGCATGAATGGTGTAACTCGCGAGTAAAGATATGTAACTTACGTTATTGATTAATGTAACTCAAGTGCATTCGAAATGTAACTTGTCAAATACATAGTATTAAAAATACAATATTGATTTCAATGGAAACAATGAAAAAAAGAGAGTCTAATTTCACAATTGTTTTACGTACATTGTGAATATGTTTTGTTTTTAATATCATGACTATAAAAAATAATTTTTTAAAAAAAAATATTTTTTTTTGTTTCAATAGCAGGGGTTGATATTTTAATGTAACTCATGTTATTACAAATGTAACTCGTGTTGATGGCAAATATAACTTAGATGTATACAGAATGTAACTTGTTGAAAAATTGAACATTTTTTTTGTGTGCGTTTAAGAATAATATATATGTCATAAACATTGATTTCAATGAAAACAATGAAAAATTGATCCTAATAACTTAATTACTTTTTTTAAATAGTGAATATGTTTTATGTTTAATATTAGGGCTATAAAAATGATATAGCAGGGGTTTATTCCGTGGTGTAACTCACATACACTAAGATGTAACTCGCGTATATATTAAGATGTAACTCGCGTACATTAAGATGTAACTTGCCCAGAAGAAGATGGAATTTGTTTTAATATGAATACCCAAAGCCCATCAATTAGATTGATTTGCTCCAATATCACGTTTACTCTGTAAATGATATACCAAAACATCAAAATTGAACCAGCAGATAGCAAACGTTTAACATCTCCGTATAAAATTTGATTTTTCTATGGAAGTTTCCAGATCTCTAGCCATCTCTGTATACATCGTACAAAGAAGGATTCACTGCTCTAAATTCGGTGCTCTGTGATAAGCTATTTGGCCGTTTATATGTGTCTCGCAAACCAAAGTCGGTGATTGGCAAGTGGGAAAGGAAGGGGGTCGTCGTCGCTGGAAAATAAGAACAACGTGCTGCTTTGATTTTTAAGTGCAAAACGATGCCGTATGGGGATCGGCACACCATGCGCATCATGGGCCGATCCCACGGTATAATTTGCGGTCTATAATGCTTTTCCATCCTTATCATGCATTAAAATTTTCAATTCATGTTTGCTCTGAACTCTCGATAATGCCACATACAATTGTCCATGACTAAAAACATGTCTAGACAGGTATAATCCAACTCTCTCCAGTCACTATCTTTGAGATTTGTTGATTGTCATATCAGACCATTATAGAAAATTGTCTTTTGATATACACGTTCAATGTATGTAAATATCATCTCCACTATTGCTCTCAGACATGGTTCTTGCTCCAATGACATGATTTTCAATCATGTAGACAATCAATCTAGTTCCATTACAAAGTCTTTCTCAGTTGCCTATATCACTTTAAAAACATATGTTTTTTAAAGTGTACATTTATTTTTATTTATATATGAAATATTGATGTCATATGAAAGATAATAAAAAAATATAATTTTGATAGATGGTTTGTAATAACCAAAGTAAAAATTAAAAACAGTTGGTCCGTTTATATAATTTTATTCACGATATGATTAAATATAATTTTTTTTTTACATTTTTACATGATTTCAAAGATGGGGGGTAGAATAAGTGAATATCAAAAAGTATAAATCTATAAAACAATTATTCAAAGTAAAATAAAATAAAAGTAAAATCTTCTTCATGCTTTTTAGGAACGAATAATACATGTGATTAAGAAATAGTACTATTTCTTAATCACATGTATTATTCGTTCCTTTAAAAATATACTCCGTATCTCTTTATCAAACAATAAAAAATGTAATAATAAAAAACTTAATTTGAGTTATTCAATTAAAAAATATAAATCCTATTAAAACTTATAATAAAAACATAATTTGCGATATTTAATTCGGAAAATAAATAAATATATAACTTAGAATACAAAAAATTAATTTAAACTTATAATGAAAAAACACAATTTGCAATATGTATTTTTTTAAATAACTTCAAATGAAATAAAATCAAATAAAATATAAGTCATATTTCTAAGTTATTTATTGCATGAAATTTACTTATTTTTTATTTTATTTACTTTTAAGTTATTTCAAATAACTTTTAAATTATATACTTCAATTTTTATTATAAATTTAAATTACATTTTTATAGAATTAAATATCGCAAATTAAGCTTTTTGTTGTTATTATTTCGTTATAGCAGCTCAACTCTTCTCGCCTCGGTTCAATTTTCTTATTAACAAGCATACAACGAGTTTTAGTAAAATTTGTCTGCTGATTTAATTGGTCCTTTATGATGACAATAAACTAATTTTTTGCAATGGCTAAATTGCCCTTCTTCAAAGGTGAAATCTACATCAAAGTAGCCGGTCTTCTTAATAGAAGATGTTAGAAAATAGAAGAGAATGTTGGTACAGATGGGGACGATCGGCTTCCGTGCCCTTGGTAAAATTTATGCCAGGCCATTATCTGGGGGCCCCGAGAGAGCAGTCGGTGTAGGTCGAGCGGGTCCTTGTCCTCGTGATAATCCGATCCAGAAGCCCAAGATCGGGCGGACGCTCGTCCAGACCCATTGGCGGGAAACCAAGATATTGGCGGAAAGCGCATTTAATGCAATAGATTTGGTGGGTGGGAAGCTAGGCACCCACAATCCCCCATATCATCAACATCATCTACCCCTTGACAGTATAAATAGTACAGAGTAGCTTTTGTTTCACTGTAAATGGTTGACAACTTATACTCTCTAGCAATAGCAATTATGCTCCCTCTTCCTAGCTAGCTCAGATAGATGATCAGCCTAGAGGGCTTATAGTGAACTGTGTTGCGATAGATTCTTAATATCGTTGAATAAGACATGACCCACTTACTAACGTCCAAAAAAATAGAAGAGAATGTTGGTTGTATGAGTAGGATAAGTGATTTTATTGACTTGTAGTGTAGATCAGAGGAGGTGTTTTAGATTAGAACTCTTGTCTCTATAAAAGTTGTTTTATATTGATGTTGCTTGATTTTCCTGTTGAGCAAATGAGTACATAAGGTCCTATTTATAGGTGCTAGAGGATCATTTTAGATCATTATTAAATGCTAGAAATCTAGAGTATTCTACTTCTAATTACTCTAGACTCTACTTAAGAATTCTATGATAGAGAATTCTTATCTCTAGAACATTATTTCCCTTGACTCTCTAGAACATTTCTAGTTTTAACTTCATAGAATATTCTAGATAAATGCATCAATATGTAACAGAAGAACAACGACTAAGTAAATGGTTTACTTCAAACCAAGCAGTGAAATAAATGGTGGTGAAATAGTTGGTCGTGGTCTTCATTTGGCGAAATGGCTAGTCTTGGATCAAAGGAAATAAAGTAATCCATAAAATTTGTGGCTTTGAATAACAAAAATGGGGGTGTCAATAGAATCCCCCATTAAAAAAGCAAAGCTAAGTAATTAAACAATGGATAAACATGTTATCTATCTTATTACTCATTGAAAAAAGTAGAGAACCGAAGTACAATTGTACAAAACCAATATCACACTTTCCAATTTTGTTGTCCCTTTGCTTTATTTCGAGTATAATCTCCAAAAGCTCAATCACCATCACATACTTCCAAATAATGATGGAACAAAAAGATATATACTACCTAATACAAATTATAAACACCATTTTTTCTTTTGAGGAAATGCATGCACGCTCAATATAATCAAACAACAATGACGTGACTGGTTAATCAACACTTGGGAAGATCAGAAGGTGGTGGAAGTATCTTCTGGTGAGGAAGGTTTCCATCCTGAACAATCCATGCCATCTTCAACCCCCAGCTCAGATGCACCTCCAAATGACAATGCATAAACCAAACTCCTGCATGAATGATTAATACAAATAAAGAACGTTTTCTATATAGTCAGTTTTGAAATATCTAAAGAGATTAGTTATGTTTAAGTCTTATTATTAACAACAAATCCTAATTTATCTTTAAAGGTGATCAGTTGCATGCTGGTACAACAAGTGTCTATTGTAAAATCCATTTCTAGCATCATAGAATTTGCTACAATGTAATATCTATTGTAACATTATTGTACCAAGAAATGCTAAAACAAAATAATCAATAAGGAAATTACCATAAATAGGACTAAAAATGTTTTATATTCTAAAATAAGACCAATTACTGCCATGTTTTGACAGTAATAGACTTTAAATATGGTGGTATTTTCTAAATTTGGAAGTTATTACTCATATTTTGAGAATAAAAACATTGTAGTCCTATTTTGGAAGTTTCAAACATTTTTACTTCTATTTCGGGAATTTTCTCATGCATAATAGATTGCTACAATACATCTATTGTAACAAAGGTGCAACATACTAAAAAATGCTATATTTGATATATTGTGACATATTTCGGACCTATTGCACCATTTGCACATGCTACAAAAGCTATACTTTATTGTAGTGTTGGGATGACTTAACATATCCTCAAAATGGTGTCTCGTTGGAGTAAACTAATTTCAGATTCTCAGTTATATACGGAGTATATGAAGTACTATATTAAGTTATCATGTACTAGCTTGTTACGATTTATATGATTCTAAATATGTTGATTTGTATTTTTATACGTCACCATTTGTGACAGAAGTTATAAACACTACAAACCCTCCAAAAATGTACCGGTAACACATTTAAGGTGATTGACGTACCAGGATTATCAGCTCGGAAGCGGAGAGCGACCCAACCACCGGCCGGAACACTGATCGTGTTTCGCTCAACGGGATCTACAAGGTTGTACTTGGCCGGATCTTTCTTCCGATCAAAGTTGCTGAACCCACTCCCGACAACATAGAAGTTGTGTCCATGAAGGTGAAGGGGATGGCTTTCTGCACTGATAATGCTAGTGTCCTGCAACACCAGTTCGACGGTGGCGTTGAAGGGAACCACCGCCAGCTTAGTGCCCTTAGCCACCATGGTGTTGTTGGGAGGAGTGCCAGTGTAGTTGAAGGGCACTAGAGGGAGGCTTGGGAAATCAGTTGTGAAGACTTGAGCATTAGAATTCTTGAAGTAATGGGCTTGGAGAAGTGCTGTTGTGGGTGTAGTAAAAGACACATTGTTCACAGAAGCTGCAAATTTTGTGACATTGGTGGGCCCCTGCTGCCATCAAAATATATTGCTATTACCTTCACTAAATACTCTATATACTCCCTTCCTTCCGTATTAAAGTTCTCACTTTCCTTTTTGAGATGTCCCTTATTTAAGTTCACACTTCTATTGTAGGAAACAAAACAGTGTCAAACAGTGTCCAAATAGTGCACTTCATAGTAAAGTCAAATTTATTTTCTTAATCTGTGTGAAGTCAAACTGGGAACTTTAATAAGGACCGGAAGGAGTACTTATCTTTATTATTCTAGTATTCCCCATTCCATCATATATGCATGTTATTGCTTATTTCCTTCGTAAACCTATCTCCATTTGTTCCAAATTAAAATAAGTAACCATTTCAAATCGATGAAGAAAAACTTAAGACATATAAATAGATAACCTGATCAAATCACACCCACTATTATAAAGTCAATGAGAGTCATAAATTTAATAAGTTAATGCTGATTGTCATATCCATTGACCAAAAAGTGACTAACAACCATATTGGCTAACAAGTTAAGGATGATTACCACCTCAATTAGTGACTGAATAGTGGATCAAAGTGGTAGTCATGGAGGTCAAAGGTCGTCATATATATATATATATGCATATTACGAGTTTTCGTCCACTATTCTCCGTTCAACCTAAAGACTTTTTAATCTTTTAATTTATATATACAACATAAATAATGAACCATTGTTCATTTGTTTGACACTTGTTTATAGGGTAAAATAGAAATTGATCAATATAAGAATCAGGGCCGTTTTTTAGGGGGTTCAATAGGTTATCCAGAACAGGGCCCCCGAATTTAAGATGCCCCAAATCTTTAAAAACTTATTGGGAGAACTACCAAATAACCCCTTGAACTTTCATAAAAAGTGTAAATAATCCCTTTTATAGGAGGCTCTGTCCGGCCCTCGCCATTTGGGGCGGTTTCCGGTGGAATTTTATGATGAAACTTTTTGAGCATCTTCTTCATTAAGTTTAGTTTACTCATAGCAAATGTTAGCTAAAAATTCAATCGGGAAGGCAGTCAAATGAATTTTTGAAGATAACTGCGCAGTTAGGCACCACATTATATTTCAGAAAATCATTTTACTGTCTTCTCGATTGAATTTTTAGCTGAAATTTGGTATGTGTAAACTAGACTTAATGAAGAAGTTGCTCAAAAACTTTCATCAAAAAATTCCCCGGAAACCGCCCTAAATGGTGACAGCCGGAAAAAGCCTCATGTAATAGGGCTTATTTGCACTTTTTATGAAAGTTCGAGGGCTTATTTGATAGTTCTCCCAAACTTATTAATATTACATAGTTATATTATAGTCCGTATATTAATACTAATCAGTAAAATACAGTTATCTTTCATGAATATTCCATTAACTTGAGTATAAGTATTAGGATTGAGATTTTATTTAAAAAAAAATTATATTAATGTAGGACACCGATTTTACATTTTGAATCGGGACCTCCGAGTTCATTAGATGGCCCCGAAAAGAACAAAACATAGACAAACATAAAAAAATAAAACTAAATATGTTTATTTTTCAAAGAGGACTTGTTGAGTAATACTAAAAGAATAAGTTAGATTAGAACTTCCCAAAATTGGAGTGAATGGATTATTTTGCTGCATAAAGATTATCTTATATATGTAGTTTCTCCTTCTTTTGTGATGTTTTCACTTGACCTGGATTTTTTTGTCTTATCTGGTCTAATTTAGTTTGGTCGATCTGTTTGAAGCTGGTCTGACAATCTGGCTTGGTTTGAACTGATCTAATTTAGCCTGTTAGATGTGTGATCTTTGTGAATTTTACAAATACAAAAACCTGATCTGGTTTATTAAAGTTTAGTCTAACCTGTTAAAGTTTAGTCTGGGTTGTGACAGAATTAAGTCTGATAAAAGCATCATCAGTCCAAGGAATTAAAAATATCCTACATACCTGGCAAGTCTGGTTTTTAGGGCAAGGAGTAGTTCCAAGGCCTACGGTGAAGAAGAAATTCTTATCCACTGTCTGTGGAACATTTGCAGGGAACTCCGAACTGCCCAAACTCCGCAGCTTTCCGGCGAAACTCTGCACGAAAGTCGTGCTGTTGACGGGAGGAAGAGGCGGCAGAGAGAGGCGGTCAACGGTCCTGTTTGACCGAGACTGGGCCTGCGGGATGTCATACTCCACAAGTCCGACTCCCGTGGAATTGTCAAACGTGCCTTGACCTGCGAAGTATGGTCCGACCGCGATGGCGAAGGTTGACTTTTGGGGGTTTGACTTTGCTTTGAGGAGGACGTTCATGGTCTGTCCCGGTGATATCACGAGCGTGCGCGTGAGGAACGGTTTGACGTAGAGCGCGTCGGCTTCAACCACGGTGACGGAGTGGTTGGCGATGGTGACGAAGAGCTCTTCCTCCAGTGCTGCGTTTATCAAGCGGAGCAGATATGTCTTTCTTGGTTTGACTTTCAGCTTGAACGTTTCTGCAAAACCAGAAATAAACTTACTCATTTTTCTTCACTATAAATGTTTTATAGTGAAATTATAGATTTAGTCACATATGCCATAGCTCAACTTGGAGTGCTTTCATGTGGTATTTTATTCCTTTTTTTCTTTTAATTGTTATAAAAATTTACTTTCGGTCCATAATTTACAAAAAATATGTTTATTATCTTTCCAATGATGTCAATATTGTATGTTTAAAATGAAAAAACGTTTTTTTTTTCAAATATCTATTTCTTGGTGGATTTTTTCATATACAATATTGTTATCATATTAAAAATTGTAAAAAGAAAATTTGATATATTTATATTAGAAATGAAAAAGTTAAAACAGATACAAAATAATAAACAATTGTCTTGCCACGTGGAAGGCAAGTACGGTAGAGGTGATGCATTGATGTTCACCCTCTTGAAAGGGGTAAACAAATTTGATTTCCTTCAATTCATGGTTATGTCTCTTGTAGCTATTCAAAGACATATTTGATTCTACGGCTAATAAATTTATCGATGTTAATTACATAGCAAAAAATTTGCAATCGAAAAACACAATTTTCGCAGAAAATTTTGACGTTGATAACATATTTTTCAATCTAATTTTTACTGAAAAATGTATGTTTCAGTACATTTATTAATCAGAGAATCAAATTTATCCGTGAGTAAAGTTGCATAACCAAAACTATAGAAATTGAAGGACTAATAGCGGGCACAACCAAAACAATACGTTTCGTGACTCAATCAACAAATGTCACTTATTTAATATTAAATGCAAATTATATTGAATTTCGAATTCTTTCTTAAACCTCTATCCTTTTCAAATTTCTATGTGGAATTTCTGAATTGGACAATTTGAACTTATACATTTAGGTCGGAGTCTCAACATTTCAATCAACAATGTAATCATTAAAATTTCAGTACTTTACTCATTAATTAACTAAGTAATATACAAAGTAAAAATGATTCTTTAAACACAAACGTTATATACTCCCTCCGTCTCGCTAACAATGGAACAAGATGAGGTGACACGCAAATTAATAAAAAGTGGTTTGTGTGGTTGATATTGAATTGATAAAATAAGAATAAAGTAAGAATGATTTAGAGCCCTACGAACTTTACCAACTTTGGTATGAGACAATCTTAGTGGGACGGACCGATAAGGTAAAATGGGACAATCATAACGGGACGGAGGTAAAATATACCATTTACAGAGCAGTTGTACGATGGACCAGGAAGTCCATTGATGGTGTATGCATCAGAAACATTTGGTCCACCTCCAGTTTGAAGCGCTTGTTTGATCACTGTTTCTGTATCTGAGTTCCACCATTCACCTGTATGTATTTCAAAAAATTAATAAAAATTAACATTAAAAAGAATGGTATTTACACACGAAAATATATCCTTTATCATATTGACCGTGTCTCTTATTAAATTAGTTCTATAACTTTACTCACTTACAAATTTTGGTACTAAAAATAATAAATATATCCATATTGAGAACTTTTACGTACCGGGAAGTACACTTTTCAACTAAAAACATACCGGAAAAGGTATCAACAATGTCAATTTTACGTGAAAAGTGTGCTTTCCGGTACAACAATTCAATGTAAATAAGTTTATTAGTTATACACAGAATACATAGCATAAGATAATTACCAAAGATAATGGGGACTTCTTGATGTGGTTTAGGGAAGGGATAAGAAGTGTTCTTCTTAGGAAGGATGATAATTGCCCCATAGAGTGAGGCCCTTAGCCAAGAAATGTGAGCATGCCAAAAAAGAGTTCCTCTCTGACCAACAATGGTGAAATTGTATACATAGCTATGCCCTGTTTGGATCGGGCATTGAGTTATGTATGCCGGCCCATCGGCCCATCCGTTACGGAGTTGTCTAATTCCATGCCTGTAACAAACGTACCGTACATTATAAATTTATAACTTTAACAATTCTTGGTGTGCACACTTGATTATTTACACATTTTTGCACACGCCCGTGAAAGTTTTTTTATAAATGAACAATGTATTCACAAGAAAAAAACTTCATAGGCGTGTGTAAAAACGTGTAAACAGTAAAAGGTATTTTTCTTATAACTAGCTTAGTTAGCTAGATCACCTTTTTTGTAATAATCTTCAATTAAGTGCTCACTAATTTAGCTAAATTAAATATATATTGTTGCCTACGGAGTACATGTTAATTTTTCTATCCCAAGTACATAATCTTGGGTAATAAGATTGCTCATTTATCATAAAAAATATAGAGAATATAAATTTATTTGCATACCAATGGATAGTGATATTGTTGGAGACATGATTTACCACTTTTACTACCACCCTGTCACCTTCTCGAGCATGAATGGGAGGGCCGGGGAACTTTCCGTTGACTGTCACCATGCTCTTTGTGTGGCACAATCGAGTTACATTTTGGAGACGAATCTGTTCAAGTTAATTCAAATTATTTAAGAGACAAATATTTACCTTTTAAAATTATATACACTCATAGGATATATGGCATTTTGAGAAGTTGAGTATTATTATAAATCTCTTTAAATTAGCATGTATTACGTTCGTCCCATATTGGATGTTTTGTTTTAGTTTGATGCGATTATTAGTAAAGTAATTGAAAAGTAAAAATTATGTTTGAGATTTAAGTAGAGAGTACAAATTTACAAATTGGCATATAAAGATTTCGTATGTGAAAAGTTTATAGTTGTATATATATTACTCCGTACATGTCTTTTCTTTTCGACAATTTTTCAAAATATTATTGAACATAAGTTAATATGACTAAAGTTATTACAATAGTCAGTCACTATATTTAATTTAAGGGATCGCATGTTTGTAAACAACTTTTATTTTATCCATAAATACACAATTATTTCTTTGTTTTTATTGTTCAAACCAAAGTCCATATTTTCTAAGGAAAGAATTTGTTGGCTCACCTTTTCCACTCCTGATAAAATTATAACCTTGCAGCTAAATTCATACGCATTATTATTATTACAAGCGTGTTAAATAAAATTTGAAGTATTTTTAGAGGCTAGGGAGGAATACTCTTTATTTGATTCTACCTGATTTTAAGAAATAGACAATATATTGTTGAAATTAATATAAATAAAAGTAAATAATATCAAACAAGAGAAGAAAATGTAATTATGGAATGAACAAGTGAAGAAAGAGTGAAGATAAAAATGGACAAGAAGCTAAGGAACCACGAATGTACCATTAAATTTTCACGAATCATGATATGCATGTAATGTAAATTACTAAATACATGCATATGTATACTATTAGTTGTTAAAAACCATATACTAAAAAAACATATACGTACTAGCTTAGTAATAGTAATGCTTCGTGTACACGGCATATTAGACGTCGGTCAATTTGTCTGCACATAGACAAATTGATACACGTGTAGAATGCCATGTACAAATAGCGCGCATTAGTGCACTATTAATTAGCAATCCCTACGAAGAAAAAGAGCCATAAGAAATGAGTACATCAAACTTGTAGTGTCGTGTGACAGGTCCATGGCCAGCCATTGCCACTTGAGGAAACCCCCAAAAGCAGCTTATGATAAGAGCAAAAGAGGCAAGAATTGCCGGTAACATTTTCATCCTTTTCTTTCCCTTATTCAACTTTAACACTTAGAGGGGAAAGTTTGAGGATGCAAAAAAATGATGGATTTTCAATACTTCATTTAGAGTGATATTTATATTGCGAATTTTATTGAGGCGAAAAGTGTTTGGTTGATTAGGTAATAGGACAACTAACGTGATGTGGCTGGAGACCAAGTGTATGTTAACGTTGGTCCATCCATCTTACCTTTGAAGTGTTGTTAAAGTGAATCATCAATTACTAGGTTGACCAGCTACTTTGTTTCTCTTATAAGTCTACTACCATTCTTCTCGACTTTGTTTCTGTCATTTCTGATACCCCAACTTTAGAAGTATAATAAGGAGTATTATATTAAATTAGGTAGGCTAATTAGTTACTGTTACTAATTAATTATCACTAAGATATTCTACTTATAATAATATGGGACGAAAACAAGACATCCAATATGATGTTTGTTTAAGCAATTTTATTGATAAACTAAAACTAATTAAAAATGACTTTATAAGAAAGTATGGGCTTCGAGCAAGAGCAATGAAGAACATGGCCGGTCCTGAGGAAATGAAGGTCGTGTGCAAAAAATATAATTGGGTCTTCTTTTCAAAGTTTCAACACAAGTTAAAAAAAACCGAACCGAAACCGCACCGACTCAAACGGGACCCGAAAGTCGGGACTCGAACATAAATCGGTTTAATGAAGGTTTTTTGAGTTATAAAATCGGTTCAAACCGAACCGAACCGATTTTTATTAAGAGGTATTTTAATTATTTATTTTGTAGAACAAATAGGTAATATAAAACTTGTACGTCCGTATTGCAACAATTGGTTGATTTGGTTCGGTGGTTGATGTTTAGAAATCAGTGTGCATGTTTTTATTTTCACCTGGGTTCAAATCCCGCATGCCTCGCTTCTTTTCTTTTTTGTTTCTAAAGCTTAAGATTCCCACACCGGTGGAAACGATGGATTTACTACTCCTTCGTTCCTATATACACGTTCCTCCTTTGCATATGAGGAATACACGAAGTGACGAACCAGGCCAGCTTCAAAGCCTTGCCCTAGTCCACCTAAGTAATAATACTCTGTAGTATACTACTACAAAAAAAAATTGGGCCCTTCCAATTTTTTGGGCCCTGCACGGTTGGACACCTTGCACACCACCAGGGCCGGCCCTGATGAAGAAGATGATAAGTGAGTGAATAAGAGTTAAAACTTGTGTATCATTCGAATATCAGATGTCTGGTTACAATGAGGGATATCATATTTATAGGAAGAGTAATTAATGCTCTCATGATGGCTTTGTACGTTACTGACGGATTGGTTGTCCGTTAAGACGATTTCGAATCTGCCATAAAGGTTGGTCAACTACACTTAATACATTCCTTAAACACATTAAAGAACCTAATAATATACAGAAAACGTTACAACCCTCACTAACTTCTGTGACCAACCCTCTTTAATGCAACATAAACCGTCAATTCTTGCTCTAACAATGTTTACCCAACTTAGTTTCACTAAGATGTTATTGGCAAAACAATTAGAAGCATATGAAATTACATGAATTTTTTTTCCACCCCACCCCAATGTTTTACTTGCTCCACCTAGTGACCTAGAAATACTCCATATACTACCCACCTAGTGACCTAGGAATACTCCATATACTTATTGCTTAAACTAGCATATGCTTAATTTGTTTGTGGAGAATTGTGTTAAATTTTAAATGAATTATCGGTTTAACAAATTATCGGTTTAACAAATTCCTTAAACCGTAATCAAAACGAATATTACTGAGACCCGATTTTTTGGACACCAAATTTTTGGGTCGGTTCTTCGGTTTGTTGAAACACCGAATGAATTTCATAAAACTTCTCCAAGGCGTGGCACTGAAATCAGCCTAGACCACCTATTCGGGATTACGAATGACGGGGCGAATATACAGCGACGAATGGCGAGTAAATCCTTCAATACAACCGGTGTGGGAACTTTTCAAACACTTTAGAAAAATTAAATGCTGAAAACTAGTAGCCATCGGGAATCGAAATTGGGTTAAAATCATAAAACCGGTGCCTAGACATCTGACGTAAACCACTGAACTGCTTCTACAAGATGGTCAAATGTTGGACTTAGAATGTATCTAATTTATCACTTATGTTTTATGCGGAATTAATATAAATTTCTATTAATAAAATTCAGTTCGGTTCGGTTTGAACCGATTTTAAATCTCAAAAAAACCGCCTTTAAACTGATTCATGTCCGGGTCCCGACTTTCGGGTCCCATTCAAGTCGATTTGAGTTTGGTTCAGTTTTTTTATTGCTCGGTTTGATTTTTTCAATTCGGTTTTCGGTTTTTCGGTTTAAAATACCAACCGAATATAAATAAGAAGTATAAATACTCCTTATTATACTTCTAAAGTTGGGGTATCAGAAATAAGCATCCCTATAGTGCAGCCAGACAATTTATGTTCTTTATACGAGCTAATTTGAACAACATACTGAAAATATAAACATACTTATACATTCATCAAAGTAGCAGCATAAGAAACTCACACATCACATATTGCCAAATTATCTTCTTCACAATACTCTTGAACTACAGAAAACTTAATAAAGAAGTGCAAATTTACCAATTGTATGAACCTAAATATAAACTAAACATTCAAATTAAACCAAACCAAAAACTAGTAAAGTACTCTAACTCACATTATTCTTGAGAATATGGACAGCAACCACTGTATATGTCTTTCATGTCCTTCATGTACTTCATTACGTAGTACCCACATTTTATAGATCCTTTTTGCTTCGCACACTGCACACAAATGAACATATACATATATACACATTGAATATACATATTTCACTACAGCCAATGTATTATGTATACACACAGGGCCGGCCATAGGGGGAGTTACCCTAGACAAGTGTCTAGGACCTCCAAATTTTAGGGGCGTCTAATTTATAAAATAAGCTTATTGATATTAGTTAGGAGACTTTGTCTGGCCGTCAACATTTGGGATAGTTTCCTTTGGAATATTTTGATGATTTTGTTTTAGAATCTTATTCATTATGTCTAGTTTACTCATACCAAATTTCACCTAAAAAATCAATCGGGAAGACATTCAAATGAATTCTTGAAGATAACTGCACAGTTAAAAGTGCAGTTATCTTCAAGAATTTATTTGAATGTCTTCCCCGTTGAATTGTTAGCTGAAATTTGGTATGAGTAAACAAGACTTAATGAATAAGATTCTCAAAAAACTTCATCAAAACATTCCACCGGGAACTGCCCCAAATGGCGACGGCCGTACAAAGTCTCTTATACAAGGGCTTATTTGACCTTTTTTGTTAGTATGTGGGCTTATTTGCCCCTTTTTCCTTTTTTTTTCTTTGTTGGCCAGGGCAGTAGAGCTAGGGATTTAGGATAATGAGTATTCTAAATATATTTGAATGCTTATTGAATAATTGAAATTGTAATTTGTTATTTTGATTCATCGAAATATTGAACATACTTATAATTTTTATATTTGATTAAATTTAGTGAATTACATTTATATATATGAACCATTAACTTATATTTAGTGATAGTATTATTTTGAATGAAATTTTACGTTTTGTGATGATTGGAAAACAAAATATGAATCAAGATGTACAAAGACAAAGAAAAAAATTAAGAAATGATTTGGTCATGAAATCACTTTCCGGCTCTATCGATCGGTATGTTGTACGTAAGCACAAAACTTTCTCCCTCTATGGCTCTTTGTATTTTTTCATCAACTTTGATCTTCTGATTTCGAAGAATATTCTCACTGTGTTAATAGTATATGATGTATTTTATATGTAATTTACTTATATTTAATTGCTATTTTTTATATCATTGGGTTAAATAAAACATATTTAAAATAAAATTTCTACATGACCGTCTAGGGCCTCATAATTGCTCTAGCCGGCCCTGTATACACATCATATATAATCAAATTCAATAAGATAGGTATACCATGACTGTGATCCCCTTCACTTTTAACTTATCCTTGAACTTTGTTCGGTGATGTATATGCACTCCTCCAAAATAGTATAAATCCTCGTCATTAAACAATACTCATTCGACAAGTATACATCATTTATCTAGTCACATATTTTGCACACCTAAATTATCAAGTCATACCTTCGGATAAACATGATACTTACCTATATTTTATATAGGTGATTATAGTTATCTGTATAATAAATATATAAAGAGAAAACACGTAAAAACCCAAATTGACCAAAAACATGCAAAGGCGGTCAAAATGAAGAATCAGAAGTCAACATTTAAAGGGGCAAAGAAACAACACTTTGGGTCCACTATGGACGTCAAAATGGAGCAAAGAGTCAAAATGTGCAAAAAGGAGAGAATTGGCGTCGGTTTGGCCTTATAACCGGCGCCGCTTGCGTGTTTTTAATTCCAACTTCAAAATGTCAAGAGCAAACTGGAGTCAATTACATTTACATCAAACAGGATTCCAGAGCCGAAAGAGAACCGATGTCGGTTTGGTCAAATCCTGCACGAAACAATGAGACGTGCAGCCTATTCTTGATGCGAAAAACTCACCTTCTCAATGATGTGATCAAATATTTCTTTCATGCCTAATTGTTGGATTTGAATAGACTAAAAGATGTCATTCTTTAGCCTATATAAATCCCTCAATTCATCAAACAAGATCATCCATCTATCCTTGAAGCTTAAATTTATGTTTTTATACGGAGTATTTTATTTTTGCATCTCTTGAAGAATTGGAGAAGAAGTCAGTTTCCCTTCTACAATCGGTTCTATGTAATATTTCTTGTATGCTATTGTATTTCCATCATTTTGTATACTCTTTTGTAACTAGTATGAGCTTATTAAGAGGCTGAATTCTTAGCTAAGGCTAGGATGAACCTCTACGCATACTAGGTGTTTGATAAAAGTTTTGAACCGATAATTATGATTTATCCTTTATAGTTTAATTGTGTGTGACTATGGTGATCAACATGGAAGTATATTAAACTTAGTTTATACTTGCAATGAAAAGATTTAGGATTAAACTA